CCCCAAAACCCCAAAACCCCCAAAACCCCAAAACCCCTTAGATTATAATAGTTTGGTTATGGTGAAATGAATAATCTTAAATTTGATGAATAAGAATTAAAGTTTAGTGAAAGCTCAATCGTCAGATTAAACTATTAGTACGAAATCATTAATCATCTTATAAGGCAAGGGAGAAAGCTTATGCGAAAGCTATCAGATCAAGCATAATCTGCTTGATCTCCTTACTCATCCAATTTTGCTTGCTGATAAGATCTAGGTATTAACTGTTGACGAACTCATTGAATAGCATAAAACCACCTCCATATTTAATGCATAATTAGTCTTCGATTACTTTCACACCATACTCGAACTATCCTCCTATTATTATTGTTTGCAAGTCTTTGAATTAAATTGATAAATATTTAGATTTTGGGTTATCGAGTTATATTGCTTAGAGAGCTTGTTGAGCAGGATTAGTGCTATCACTGACCACGAATGTCACTTCCTTAATTTCTACTTTATCTCTTTCTTCCTTCACTCCATCAATAACAACTAATTTATCTGAATCCTATCCCCAAATTAGAGAATGCCTGCCATTTTCATTAATATCGTAGATTTATGAGATCTATTTGGGAAATTTTCCAAAAATTTCTTTTTAACTCTTTATAATCTATGATATCAATGCCAATGTATTCTTTGCATTAGAATTAGGATCCTCATCTTATTAAAGAGCGCTTAATAAAACTTATCTAAGTTTTATTTGATCCTTGACTTTTTCATCGATTTAGTACTAATTTTGATAATTCTTCGAATACTTAAGTATAATTCTGAAAAGTTGCACATGTACGTCTAAGGTTTTGGTGAAGAATTAGCCCAAGGTAAGCACGAATCCATTGAGTCTTGTCCTGTTGTGATATACTTTTAATACACAGTGCTCCACCTGTAGCTCGGTTTATTGAAGTTACACTTGGACAGCTTATAACTCTGTAAGTAAGAATTATGCATCTTCAGGGTTAGACAATGCATTTCCTGATTTTATCTGATCATCCCAAAAAAGCAAGAGATCGTTTACTTTCTATTCAGCTTGCCCAATCTAATCTCTGATTTAATTCTCATGCTCAATGTCAACTTAAGCTTTGAGCAAGTTAAGAACGCCCACAGATATCTTGTTAAGGACGCAATCAGCTGAGTTAGCAAATAAAACCAGCAAATCATTGATGATTGCATCTTGAAGGTCAGAAATTTCTTGATTTTTATCTAATTATGCAAGTTACCGCTCTATTTATATTCTAAAGTCATTAAGTTTGGTGAGAGTATTCCCAGAAGCTGCTTCTATTTTCTTGATCTCTAAGTCCTTTTCTATTGCATACAGATCGTCAAATAACTCGTGCTACTTTTCTTTGAGAGATTTATAAGACTATAACAAATCATGCAACTTGCCTAGGTTAATGGATTCCCCCTCCATATATTATGTTTATTATTCTAACAACTCGCTAAGTTAACTTCTCAATTTTTCAATGTCTTGTTTTACCTCGCTTGTCTCTTAGATTATCTCATCGACTTCTGCTTCAACTTATTTTAGCGCTTCTACTCCTTATTCATCTGTTTCAGTGATCATCTGCAGCTATAAAGCCTTTTTATATGCTTGAGGATTCCCCTCTAGTCTATTAAGGAGCTCATCAAAATGCTTTTTATTTTCTTCTTCGAATACCTTGATTGTATTACTCACTCCAAAGTCTCCTAAAAGTTCTAATACAAACTTTCTGTTGTTATAACTAGCTTCAAGTTGAACAGTATTCTTGGTCAAGGATTATTTAAGAGTGTTAATGGAGGAAGCAAGTTATGAAAGATTTTCAAATTCTGAGGACTGGGTTAGAGAATCGTTAAGAGCGTGTAAATATTGCTGTTAAGTTTAATTTGATTTTTAAATATCAGCTTTTATGACATCCAATTCGCTTCTATCTTACTCTAGCAGCTAGTTTATGATCTGGAAGATAGTTTGATACTAAGACTGAAATTCTTCGTATTGCTGAAGCACCGAGAGAAGTGCTTGAAAGTGGTCAATGTCATTTTACTCTCTGTCCACCAATTCCTTTACCTATCCTAACTTTTTAGAAGTCTTCTCTAAATTAGTCTTCATTTTTGCCATAATATGTACTCTGACCTGCTCCATAACAAGACTTTAATCCCAATTTTGCTTAAGGTGTCTCAATTTGCTATCAAACTACTAAATCTGTTCCTCATATGCGATGACTTGGTCTCTTAGATCTTTTTATAGGGCCCCGAATTCTTCAGCTTTGTGAGATGTAGTCTTAAGATATGAGAGCTTATCATGAACAGTTTACTTCTATCCCTCGACGTTTTACTTTTAGATATCAATATCTTGTAATCTCTGCCTTAGTTTCTATAGTATAATTGAGTAAATTTTGAAAAATTTGATTAAAATATGCTCATTACATTGTCAATTTGGATGTCATTCTATGGATCTTATGCAATCTTGACGCAAGTTAAATATTTTGCGAATAAGCTATTTAGCTTCTAATCATGTAGATTTATTGATTTCTCATGACTGTGCAACAATGGATCATTGCCTATAAAATTAAAATCGAATTGAATTTGGATTTAATACTTACTATAGAGCATATTGCTAGTTTCTGGTGTAGTATGATCTTGCTTAGAGCTGCAGACGCCTCCCATTTTATTAAAATCTGAAAGATATTAAAATAAATATCATTCATATCATTGAAAAGGCTTTATCCATCAAATTCTAAAGTCACGGGGTTTTGGGGTTTTGGGGTTTTGGGG